AAATATGAATAAAGAATGACAAATTATTTTTTTTCCTTTTTCTTTGTATTAGGGAAATTCTGAAATTCTGAAATTCTGAAATTCTGAAATTCTGAAATTCTGAAATTCTGAAATTCTGAAATTCTGAAATTCTGAAATTCTGAAATTCTGAAATTCTGAAATTCTGAAATTCTGAAATTCTGAAATTCTGAAATTCTGAAATTCTGAAATTCTGAAATTCTGAAATTCTGAAATTCTGAAATTCTGAAATTCTGAAATTCTGAAATTCTGAAATTCTGAAATTCTGAAATTCTGAAATTCTGAAATTCTGAAATTCTGAAATTCTGAAATTCTGAAATTCTGAAATTCTGAAATTCTGAAATTCTGAAATTCTGAAATTCTGAAATTCTGAAATTCTGAAATTCTGAAATTCTGAAGTTATGAAAATTAGAAAACAAGAAATTCCCGAATTTTCAAATTCTCAAGTTCTTGAATTGCAAAGTTTTTAAGCTCTGAAATTTTGAAATCATGAAGTTCAGAATATAAAAATCTGAAAATTTGAAAATCTGAATTCCAGAAATCCTGAATTTCTTAAAATCGTCCAAGAACAATATTCTAGTTGGTCACCAACCCAGAAGAAAGTATTTTTAGTCGCGACAGAATCATATCTTATTAGCGCCTTTTTTTTCTGCTTGAAAAAATCTGATAAGGTCGTTAAAATGGGACGAAACCCAAGAAGGCGTGGCTCCTTCCATTTCTCTGATTCCTCTCCTATTCTCAAAAGATTTTCTTCTGTTTATCCGATTTCTTAGAAGGGCTTTACTTGGCTGCTCTTCTCTATTTGGAACGAAACGAAGGATGACATCTACATATTCCGAAAGTGCTATTTCAATGAATTTCAAACAGTTTCTGATATATTCGAAACAAATTCTTCTACTCACCGGTTCTTCTATTCTACTGCTATTAATCCACTTTACACTTTCTATGAAATTACCAAAAATGCTAAATGATGCTGGAATACCTGAAATTGAAACTGAAAAACTTCAAATCATATTGTTTCTCACTGCTGTCGTCTGTCCAATTGTATACATTATGATTAACAGAAAGTTTCCAAACTGGATTGCAACTCGAAGAAAATTGATAATTTGGTGTGCGACTATAATAATTATTTCGATTCAATTATTGCTAGGAGCAGTTATTTTAAACAAGTCCGTTAAAGGATTCGAGGTGAGAATGTGATTATATGGGCTAACGTTTATACTAGCTTAAATTTTGAGTAAAGCCTTGTTCTGGGCTCAAATTTGTTATGCGAAAATTCCAATAATTCATCAGTTAATTGGACAAGTTTCAAACGATTTGATCAACTTTGAGCTGAATTATCGCTTTTCAAAGTTGCCTCATCTTATGAAAGTCACCTTGTATGACTTCTTAAATCGATCTATTAGGTTGGCTAATAAGTCTTTGTGCACTTTTGTTTTTCCTCTTTCTTTTAACTGAGCTAGAACAATAACATGTGTATAACCGCATATGGTATATAACATGATAAGGTTGTTCACAATAACCATCATTCGCCCTGCTCTCATTCCGCTTGCGAACGGGATGCCCCTTTTGATACCTACTGTTTTTGGGTGAAATTCCTGTTTGACGACGCCTACTGACTGTCTATCGAAGTCAAGCCATTGGGTTCTTCTGTGATGGTTATGGTATATGACCCTCTTCTTATCCAAGGTGATAATATGATTCAGCCGCTTAAAGGTGGTGTACGGTGAAATTTTTTATTGCATCAAAATGTGCAGAAATGCATGTAGATTGACAAAAAAATAAAGAAAAAAATAAAAAAAAATTTCTTCGGCGAGAAAAACGCATCGAAAAATACGCTGAAAGCCCTTAGGGACGAGCTTTTTTCTAGGCCACCCGGTGAGTGAAAGCGCGCGAATTCAAACTTTTAAAATTTTTTCGCTCGTTTTCTCTGTTTTT